GCCTACCTCTAGCGTTGCGGGGCAATCGGTTGTTTCTTTCGTGTACAGCACAGAAAGCGGTTCCGGTCATCTCGAAGCTGTGCAAAGTAGGCCTAGACCTACAGCACCTAGACTCAGCTAGATATTCCACTCGCTCTTCGTACAGCAGCAGTACATGCCCTACCGAACGGCCGGCAGCCCGGTAGCGCGCACATACAAATCGGTGCCCCCGACAACAGTCTACATTGTAGACTAATTGATTGTGCTTTCGGCGGTCCTGACATGTTTTTCTAGCAGCATTCTTCTCCTCCCCTACACACCATGAGTCCCCTGTGCGCGCAGGAACATACTCCACAGAACATACGAGCAGGCGGGCTCTGCAAGCCTGCACAGCTCGGGCTTCAGTATGCAAGCTAGCAGAGCTGAGCTAGCCGAGTACCACCTCCAAACCGTCAAGAACCGCGTGCGCGCGCGCCCAAAAAGCACGGCATGCTTTCCGAACCTTCCGGAAACCCTACCCCCGAACCCCCTAAAGATCCTTTCGCACGATTGGTAATCCGACCTCGTTCAAATTGAAATCTACGACCCTGGACTACTACACGGCAGTACTGAGTATCTGTGGTATCCATCCTGTGGTGACGTGGTTACTGGGGCCCATCGACTACAAGTGGAACTACAGTACTGCTGGAGGTAGAACTGACCATGCACCCTCAAGAAAGCATGGACGTGCTTCAAATTCGAAACGTTTTGCAGCCCTCGCAGCTGGCACACTCGGCGCCGCCACACACAGCAGTTCAAAAATTGCCTCTCTTTGGTCTTAAAATAATAAGACAGAGTAGCAACTGCCCAAGCAAAGACACCTCGAGAGAACCATCCTCACCCGTGTTTAGGCCAGTCGCAGCAGAGAGGCGAAGATGTTCACTGGGGCAGGCACAGGGTGTGGCGCGTGCGTGTCGATCTATCGACTGCTGTAGTCTGTGTCTATACTCGCTACCTCCCTGTCTCCTGTCCCACTGCTGTATCTCAGGCCGAGACTGTAAATTTCAAACACGCCTGTTTTCCTTTCGAGACTGGTGGTACAGACAGTTTGAGACAAGTTGCAAGTAGTTGTTTCACTCCCCATCGGGCAAGTGCTTTCGGTCGGGCGGTGCAGGCACTGAGCAGTGCAGCAGCCGCAGTCTACAATACATGCAGCGTCTCTGTTTCCCGCCCAGATTTATGAGTCGTCATCTCGAGCAATCATGATCATTGAAACATGGAGACCCTGATTTATTTATTTGCTCTTGTTTGTTGTTGTACAGCTAGCTTTCGACGTCTCAAGCGTGTATTGTACTCCCCTGTAGCGTTGGCGTGTCCTCTATTAGTAGTCTAGACGTGGCGACAGCTAACTCCAGTACATACCCAGTGACCACCAGCACTCTTGAAGTCCCCCAAATGCGGCAGACAGAGTGTTCAAGTAAATGCGGCAGACAGAGCAAAAGTAAGTGCGCGTGGCGTGGGCGGCATGATTTTCCTCTTCGCCCGTCACCTCCAAAAACCTGTAACAACCCGGCCGTGTGTTCTGTACTTCCATGTATTGTAACAGTCCGGGGGGTAGCCCCGGCCTCGGTTCGGTCTCGCTATATATGAGGAAGGGTCGTCTCACGAGATAAATTCCCAAATCAGATGCTGAATGATTGTATATGTAATAGATGAGAAACGCGTGTCTCTCGCGCGTGTGGCAAAACCAAGCAAGCCAATAATAATAGTATAATAAGGGACCCCGTGTCCCGGTCGGCAGCTGCGAAAAGTAGGTCGGCAAAGTAGTTGCAATTTACGCACTTAGCCCGCGCATTGCCTGCAGTCTGGGGGACTACAGGACTACTACAGTACTTATTAGAGATTTGGAGAGTCATGTACAGAATCCAAAGCACAACGAACGGTTGTTGTTTATCCAGACCGCTAACAGCCTTTTTGGGAGAAAGTGCTGCGGGATTTTGAAAGAAAGTGGGAAATAATGTTTGTATCTTTTTTTTTTTTTTTGTTCTTCACTTCAAATCAGCGCTCACAGCACTAGTGCCGTTTATTCCAACCCGTGGTCACACTGAAGAGCCTCCCCTCCTGCGGTACTTCGCCTTCAATTTTTTAATGCGAGAAGAGTTCAGCACTCTCTTCCCTCTGTGTACACACGAACTAGCGCTATCCACTTGGCCAGAAGAGTTCATTCAGCACTCTCTTCCCTCTGTGTACACACGAACTAGCGCTATCCACTTGGCCAGGAGCGGAAGCAAGAGAAAAACTCACATTGTAAGAAAAGCTCGCCTACGCCGGGATTCGAACCCCTGACCTGACCTCTAGAAGGTTACGAGGCTACCAACTAGACCACCGGGGCATAGGGCCAGAATAGATCGGGCTCAATCGGGCAAGGGCGCACAAAAAAAAAATTCCGACACCTAAGGCCATTTGTTACGATACCCACACCGGCAACAGCGATGACAAAGGTATCCGCCATGAGCTGCGCGTGCGTATGGTCCTTCTTGTGTGGTGGTTGACACAGATCAGGAGGCTATAGGGCGCCCAAAAGTTGGGTTCGCAAAAGATGACAACACACCAACAAAGACCCCCCGCTCGCTGCTGCTGCGTCCAGACTCTCTCGGCTCGTTTGCCGCTTGTTTGCGCCGCACACATCGGGTTGTCCACTTGGTCCAGCCAAATGAAAAAACAACGCTACCGCTGATACTACTGACTCTGCACCAGTCACATGACACAGACAGCTCGTGTGAACACCGTTGGAGTTTGCGGGGATCAACCGTCGAGAGATTAAGTTTGTAGGTAGCGTCATGTGGTTGTGACCAAAAAAAGATCACAGAAAAAGACAGCCCCAATTTATCCAAAACTGCCCCAGAAAAAGACAGGATGGGCTGCCCAAAACGGGTTGTCTTTTTTTGTTGGCCTTTTTTCCCTGAAAAAAGACACCGTAACCTTCTGTGGCCAGTTGTCTTTTTTTGACAAGTAAAAAAGAAAAAGACAGCTCCAAAAAAGAGCCGTAAGAAATGGCCTAACCCCCAAAACTTTTGTTGGGGTCCTCCGGGGGGGGGGGGGGGACTCCTACTCATAGTCCTGCATGCCGTAGTCGTTTGACCATTGACCTCGCATCCCTACAAAGCCGGGACGGAGCACGCCGGGTTCTCACCGGACCAGGCTCCCACATCACCAAGCGCGAAGCGCCGTGAGGTATTTGGCGAGTCGCATGAAGGGTGAGCTGCATCCTGCTAAGGGTGTTCGGCATCTTGTGCTTACTTCCTTGCGTACGGATGACAGCTACGTATGTATGACTTAATTTATTTTCTGGTGCTTTCACTTCCAGAGACAGTTGTAAGCACTGTGTAACTGCCTCGAGGAAGCTTGACCATTTAACACAACGTGGTGCGATCATCCCCCGTTGCGCGGAGAGAGGTTTCTCGACCCCGCACAACATGATCTACTCGACCACCATTACGGTTACTACCGCCAAAAAAAAAAACGAGGTAAAAAAAAAAAAACGGTAACCTGGTTGCCGAGTTCACGAAGTGAATTGGCTTGTTTTACAACGTCGTTGCCAAGCGACGAAAACCCAATCCTGATGGCAAACACCGAGTGGGGGGCTTGTTTTACAACGTCGTTGCCAAGCGACGAAAACCCAAACCCCGATGGCAAACACCGGGGGGGGCGAAAAAGAAAAAGACAGCTCCAAAAAAGAGCCGTAAGAAATGGCCTAACCCCCAAAACTTTTGTTGGGGTCCTCCGGGGGGGGGGGGGG